GGCTGATGTCTCGCATTCTGCTGCATTTCCTCCAGACAGAAAACAATAAGAAGTCAGTGTGTGGAGGTTCAGGACACTGGCATGGGCTGCTGGTGGGCAAGAGTGACAAAATTACAGCTTTCATGATAGAGAGGGGAAGGAAGGCATTTGAGCCAATTACTGATAACCAAAACAGCACGGAGCCAAGAGGCAGAGGAAATCACATGTAATGGGGAGGGCGGAGAGGATGGAGAGAGACAGAGTACTGGCGGAGTTAGAGCTGCGAGGTTTTATGACAGGGTAACAGAGTACTGCATGCTCTTGGCTCACACAGCTTTAACCAATCTGAAGGAATTATTGTTTTGTTTTGTTTTTTGTTTGTTTTTTGGTTTCTGAAAAGCAACTTTTATGTTCAWTCCTTGTTTTTGTTTTTATACCCAAAAGAAAGTTTGTGCTCTAACAAAACTCATTGATCTTAATCATAAAAAGAGCTATGAAACAAACTAGAAATCCCCACCAGTACTCATACTTATAACTGTATACTTTTTTAAATATAGAAAAAAGTAATAAGAGAAATATATATATATATATCCAAATTGTTGCAATGTTTTTTTCTGATGCAATTTAAGATATTAAACCCCATGTTTGCATGTAAACACTGCACTTCCTGTTCACAAATACAGCATTTTGTAGTTTTCTGCACACATTGCAATGTAGGTAGGGGTTAGAGATTTACAGGTATAAACAAACCCACACTATTAAATTTGACGAGTGTGCCTGTGGTTTTTTTTCTGTTTATCTGATGTTTTGTGTAAATTATAAGAGAGAAAACACTGAACGGGGTGAAATGTTGAAGTCAATGCACAGCAGGACTTTTTACAAGAAAGGGGTCTACAGGGCATGTATTCTTRGTAAAAATATAATTTTGCTATTTTTTTCTTGCACCAACTTTATTTGAATATGATTTAGGTTGACATAATTTTATGCATTTACAAATAAAAAACAGTTACTATTTTTATTTATTCTTTCAGTTCATTTAGAATTTTATTCTTCTTATCTGCTCTAACRCACATAGATGAACTGAGCAAGCCATGATAGAGCAGGTTGGAAGATGCTTATTTGACATTATTTCTTGTTTTGTTTTTTCACATCCTACAGGCTCTAAAATAAATTTTTTTAAGTATCTGAAAAAATTTGTAAAACTTGAAAAATATTTGTGAGATTGTTCTATACCTGCAAAATGAGGGAAAATCTGTGTAAACTTCAGACCATTGGTACAACTTTATATGCAGTTGGGACTTCCGTCCATGTAGTTAGTATCTGTGCATAACAATATATATTCTCAAACCAGGCTCATAAATCAGATTTGACTTCTATTTAGAAGGGGGGCTGCACTAAACTCATACTAAAAGTACAAGTTCAGTATATTTAATTATTAAGCAGTTATCAAGTCCAAAACACATGGTCACAGAGAGACAAACGAGACAATATTCTCACTCACACCAAGGGACAATTTAGAGTTGCTTATTAGACTAACATTCATGTTTTTGGTCTGTGGGAAGAAATTGGTGTGTCCTAAGAAAACCCAGAGATGAAATGCAAACCTAAAAGGTCTCTCAACCTTCTTGCAAC